AAACAGAATCTCTTGGGAAACAGCCTTAAAAGGTAATGGCAAAAGCTTTTAATGCCCCAAGCTCAGCTAACAGAGACCAGGCATTAGTTCAAGTGGTTCAACTACATAAATTGAAAACAGAATCACAGTTACTGTCTGTGCTTTGGTGCACTTGATGGGCACATTTTGGTTCACACTGAGTGGTAAACAATGAGTTGTATACAGTCATCAAATGACTGAAGAAGTTTAAACAAAACTTCTTTTGTCTTCTGTGATGTGTGCTGATTCCTTCCATAAAACACATACTGTTCCTGTTTAAATTTAATGTCATAACACATCATATTTATGTAATTTTCTTTTGCTTTCCAAGGCACTATTGCTGAGAGGAAAACTGTGGCCACAGGATTTTGAATACAAAATCCAATACTGATGGCATTTTTTTAAATCTTTTGACTGCATACTCTTTTACTAGCTTCAGTTACAAATGCTCTCAGAAGCTTTTTGGCAGATAATCTCTTGCTTAGAGGTCTTAAGGTTCAACACCTCTAAAAGTCCAGAGCACATTTTTATTGCACTCACTGAATGTTGTCAAATTAAAACAAAATTAAGAAGTTTAGACTTCCTATTTCACACAAGGATTTTTAAATCTATTGATTTAGTTCACTACTGTGCAAAAGGCATGATACCTCTTTGCTAGCGATTGGAGAAGGTGCCAGTGGTGCATGCTTTAGAACAGCTGGATATCCTTTAGTATGCAGCATGGAAGGTTAGGAGTGAGGACTTTAAATCCTGATTTGTGAACAGCCACAGCTTCTCAGCATATTGTTTCAGTGAAATCAGAGGACTGCTGAATTTTACCTTATTGATTTAAAGGTTGTTACAGTTCTGCCTAACCTGCATAGAACAAGTCACTCTGAGACACTGGAAGAATCACTGTCCTCAGAGAGAAGAGTGGATTTCATTAATAATCCAGTAATGGAAGCAAGAGAAAGAGGTAATAAGTGCCAGGACAATAAGTGTTTATGTGATAACATCTGAAAATATTAAACTAAAGATGAAATCAGTGCTTATTACTCAAAGTTGGCAAGAAATAGCTAAATATATATACAGATGTCAAATTATCTGTTTGCCTAGAAATGAGTAATCCATGATCAGAGTCAGCATTTCTAAAATATAGTGTTTAAGCTTGGTGGTGTTGTCATTTCCTAGTTGGTCTCTCAGTTATCTATAGAAAGGTATTTTGATTTAGTTTTTGGACATAGAATATAAATTCCTTAAGGCAGCCTTTTTTTTGCACAAGTTTTGCCTGCTAAAATGTTCTCCACTTGATGAAGGAGCATGGGTAGCTACACTCAGAGAGTTATTTAAGCACACATCTTTGTTTTCACAGAGGTAGTGATTTGTTTTCAAATGGTGTTAGTTTAAAAAGCACACACAAGCTAATACCACTGACTTTCCAGGATGTCATTTGATGACTGTACATTTGATGGAACAGTGCTCCTAAAAGCATTGCTGCAAGAAAAACTGGGAGAGGGGTTATAAGCCCAGTAAATGAGTGATGTAACTTCTAAGTCAACAGTAAATTTTTATCAGTGAGAGAGGAATACCAGCATGTATTTGCTAGAACTTTATAGTGTTACGTGTATGACATGCTGTCACAAAGCAGCAAGGGATACACTAAGTCTTGCCTGTGTCAGTCACTGAGTCATTTAGGTCAAAGCTGACCAACTACAACTGCAATTTTAGTGATGCTCTCTTTATAACTGAACACATTTTTGAATGGCAAAGTACAACGAAACCACCAGGATGGAGAATGCAATTTTTAAACCACTCTGATTAGGCTCCTTTTATTAGTCTGAGGAAACTCCAGACTAATTCAGCATCTGCTCAAATCTGCTATTGATTAATTAGTGGAAGTGGAAACATGTTACATGACACTTTACTAGAACTAGGCTGAATCTACTGACCATGGAAGTGCTCTCTTAAGCTCCATAATGCAGTTACTGTTGTGAGGCTTTTGAAGGCAAATCACAGCAATTATTTCTGAATCACTGATAGTGTTCAATCTGTGTACTTTCATACACCCAAAATTCCAGGCATTCATATTAAATATGGATGTTGTGCACCTAAACTTGTTACGGAACACTAGCACACAGCAACACTGGAGTTGCCATAGGTTATTCCAAATGTCCATGTAGTGGAGAAAGCTATGAGGAGCAGCAGGAAAAGGTCATGTAAGGAACCCAAGGGCAATGCAAACAGGACCAGTGCACCTCTCTGGCCAACTGAATTGTGCCCCTACAGGTAGAAGGCACAGGTGAAGTACTTGCCAAGATCATAGCACACTTTTAATGCACATCTGTAGGGGGAGGTAAATAATATTTTAATAATAAAAATATTTTTTTATTAGACTGTCCACTATAATTGGAATAGAAGCCTTCTGGGATCAGTCCCTTCATCAGGACTAACTGCAGCCCTTACGTCTTCTATAAATTTAATTTCTCTCATACATGCAGACCATTAAAATCATAATTAAACTTCTGCATGCATAGGAAGCTAAACACATTTTTCAGAAACAGAAGCATGGCCCTTAACACCAACATTACAGCTACACCTGCACCAGAATAAGTCAGAGTTTGTTCTTCCAAAGTAATCTGCAATCCAAAGGACTTTTTCAAGATGTGCTGGGTAGGAGGATGGGAAGTGAGATGAAGAGCGAAGTACTAAGAAGGAAGAGAGGCAGAAAAATTGTTTCGGCAGATTTTGATTTACTGAACACAAATGCTGGACTGTTTTTAGGATGTTGATCACACTTCATGAGACAGTTTCTTTTGTAAAGATGTCACCTAAAGTGCATGGTAAGTTATGATTTAATACATCTATGATACATCATGTTCCAGGAAGCTGTATTTGCATGGGTTTGTAACTAATTGAACACCTGTAAGTATGTAATTTTTCTGGGACTGAAAACTATAATTATTTAATGCTGTTTTGTGTAATGCATTTCATGATAGTCTTTCTAGAAAGCCTATATGCATCCATCTACCTTCAAGAACCTGCAATGTCAAAAAAGTATCCAATAGTTCATTCTTGTAGGAGGAGATCTGTTGTGGACCTGCACACACTGAAATACTAAATTACATTTAACCAGCACAATAGTTTAGTTAAGTTATGCCCTGTAAGACTTTTATATAACTGAGTCTCAAAATAATATGGGTAAGTGCAGCACTCCATTTATTTAATACGGCTAGTAAACTCTTCAGCTTCATCATATCTGAAATATAAATGTTTATATATGAACCTCCCATACACTTGTCTGAAATTTTTCCAAATTGATGTGAAACCTCATTTGAGCCTTAAATATCTGGGACATGAAAATCTAATCACGCTAAGCTGCACTTGCGGCATCCCATAACCAAAAATCACTTCCCTGCATTGTGATGCTGCCACGTGGAAAGGGGAGATTCACTGAACCCTCGGTGTGTGATTATGTGCCAGTGCCCCAGGAAATCCCCGGCCCCTGTGCCTGACCAGTCTGTCAGCATCCTCTTGTGAGGACCCTTCACTGGGCAGTTCAGTGGGGCAGGGGGGGTCCAGGGCCGTTCCCCCTCCCGCATCTCCACATCTTTGCCCGTGGCTGGCTGGCGAACACCGTGCTCGGCGAGGGCCGGTGGTACCCGAGGGCCGATGTCTCCGGATGGCACCTGCGATAACCTCGGGAGGGGCACCTGTGTCAGCGTTCTCCCCACAGCTGCCGGTCCAAGAGCAGGACATGGCCCTTTCTCTCTCTTGCTTTTAAGCTGCTGGGAGGGTTATCAGCTGGAAAGGACACCGAGCTCCCTCTTCCCGAGGGTTTTGACAGAGCCTGGCCGTGGTGTCTCCCCTCTGCCCTCCATTTAGACCCCATAGATTGCGTTGTGTCTGGGAGGTCGGGAATGCTGACTGCGTTCCAGCCCGGAGTAGCAACTGTATTTTCCCCCGTAATTTCTGTACTGTTACTTTCATACTCGCAGTCATTTTTATCCCACAGACGTGAAAAACATTTAGCTGGCTGTAAGTGTAAGCACTGCATTAAGCCTGCTGAGGTCAGTACATTAATAAACATGTGCTCAATAGTTTTCAAAATGAGGCCTTTTGATATTGCTGTTTTTAAATTTACTTCACATTTAAATTTAGGGTCCTAAAAATTTAAAGTTAGTATCATTGAAAGGTACTGCTTACAGCTGTGACAGCTAGATATACAGAGACTTAAAACATATTTGACTTATTTACCAGTTTAAATACAGTAGTATCTTCTTTTAAATAAAGCAACCTTCTGTTACACTACTCTGTAATTTTGCTGTCACAAAATTGTTTCTATGTTGTTTTGATTTCTTACTAGCTGAAGCTTTTCCCCAAATAAACAGAGAAATAAATTAGTAAATATAACAATTTCCATATTCAAAAGTCACAGCTGTAACTTAAAATGCAAAGCAAAGCCACTGTTACTATCAGTTGATGTTGCAATATGCTATATATGTAATTCTATTGGTTATGAAAACCCTTGAAATTAACTACAGGCACCTGACCACAGAATCTCAGAATGGTTATGGCTGGAAAAAGATCTCAAAGTCGATCTAGTTAAAATTCCCCTGCTGTGGGTAGGAACACATGATGTTAAGGATTATTTTCTCTTTTGAAAATGCACACACTGTACCTTTTCCTGACAGACACAGGTAATTTAAAGGGACAGAGAAAAAAAAAAAAAAAAGCCCAAACCAAAACCCACAACAGAATTTATTTTCTTATAGGTTTTTTTTTTTAATTTTGCATTAAAGAAAGGAACTTCATCAACATTGATTGTCATTTACAGAAAACATTCAAAAATCATGTGTGCATTATTATGAAATGCTAACAGTGTTTAACTAATAATTTACAGATCATAAAATAAGACAAAGATCTATTACATTCTAAAGTAATATAGAACCTTTTCATTTGACAAGTATGCTGGTCCTACAAGATTCATGATAAAAAACCCTCAATGGTCACTTTCTAAATGAATCAGGCTGTCTTTTTACTCACATACACATAAATAAGGTCAATTATATTAAACAAGGGAGAAAGATCAGAAGAGAATTGCAGATGTAAAAATGCTGGATGAACTCCTGGCACTGTTGAAATCAGTGAAGGGTTTGCCGCTGGTTTCAATGGAGCCAGATTTTTACCCAGTATGTCATGATTCATTTGCAGTTCTGCTTTTTGCATCTACAAGCCAGTTAAGATACATCACAGTTATTACACAATTAACCTTATTAAAAAAACCCAACAAACCAAACCAAACAAAAAAAAAAACCAACTCACAACCCCCCCCAGAAACCACTGTTGACTCTATGAGGCATTTGATTTTAGAAAGGAACTTTTATTTGTCTTTTGAGAGTGATTAATTTTTGAGTGCTACTCATTATTTTATTAGATTGTTTATTATCATACTTCTTGACAGGCAATGCAACTCTTGTGTGTTACCAACAGTGGTAAACATGCTTACCAAATAAAAAACAACACACCCCTAAAATTCAAATTAAATTGATTTACAACAATATAACTACAGCCAAGCACCAAATAGCTCAGGGCTTGGATCCTGGGTCTTAACATCTCATTTCACTCTAACAAAATGAACTGGAAATAGGATAAAAACATTAGATATTTGAAAGTGGGAAGTATATGAAAAATCATTTCTTCTCATAATCCTAAAAGCATTTTCAGGGATATTTCAAAAATATTAGAAAGCTTCATTTAAATCTAAATATCTATCTTAATTATGTTTTTATTTTTTATAAATTGGTAATCACAAAATACTAGCCATTAAAGTCACATTTGGATGCCAGAAAAGCATCCAAATACTTTGCCCATTATTTATGCTCCTGCCTGTATTACATTGCAGCTGTTGATAAACTGGACATAATTTCTTTGTTCCATTATGATCTTTAAAATGTGCATTTGGTGAAGATCAGTTATGGCTTCAGATTACAGCTAATGAGTGACCTGACCTCAAATCAGAATAAGAAATTAACGGCATACAAAAATATTTTGCTCATTGGAAAGAGAGAAATGTTTCTATTAATATAAGTCATGTCAGAAGGATTCATAAAAGCCATATGCTATAAGAAAGCATTATTTGCTTGAACAACTTTTCTTCAAATCAGTTAAATGCAGTCCGCAGGAATTATTATTGTACTCATTGTAAAGACTTGCTGGGATCATATTTCACTGACAATCCCACATTTTTTTCCCGAACAGAAGCATACACTAAATATCAACGGCTGGTCAAAAGACTTTTATCTATTACAATCAGTTTCCATAAAAACTGAAGAGTACTTTACACTTACAGGAAGCAAGTACATAATTTGCTCTTTGATGTTTTTCCTCTTTTAAAAAAAAAAACAAACAACCCATTACAAAGTCTTATGTTTAAACAGAGACATAGAAAAAAATCAGTGTATTCACTGTCCCAAGTTATTTACAGCAAAAATTACAGAGACAGCATACATATTGGACCTTCCACAAGCATGTATTAAAAGTAATTACATATGAAAAAATATTTTATTTGTCTTCTACATTTCTACAATACATACTCAGGTTTCTTTCTTCTTGTTTTGTTTGTTTAGTTTTTAAGTAACTTCTTTAGTGTTAATCAAATGAGGCAGAGAGTGCAGCTGTAAAATAAGGGATTTTGTTGCTATTATGATTCCTATATTCTTTATATTGTCCATTCATTACAACTGAAGTAATTAGTTTAACATGGGAATTATCTCATAGCAATTAGCATAAATCTCAAAATACCCAATGTATTCAATTTAGCTGAGTGTTGGTAACAGCTTAGAGTTCAGTTGTGCTTTATTTGTTGCCACAAGTACAATCACAGAGCCGCTCCCCAAAGTGTACTAGAGGTCACATGGCAGTCACACAAGAGGCAAAGACTATCATGGCTAGTTCACTGGCTATGCTACTCAGTGGCTTTTTAAAAATAAGTGCACGAATAAATCCCCATATACTGCACAAGAATGTGTGGTCCACACTCCGTAGGGTTAAATGATTATTAGGTTTTTTTTAACTAACAACAAAATACCTTTTTTGCCTGATTCTGACATTGAAGTGACACATTAAAAAACCACAAATGTAGTGCATCTGAATCTGAATCCCCAAAGTCAACAGCCTAATGTAGTTACTTTGACTTATTAAGCTGCGTGTCTAATCAAGACAAGTATAAGTGCTTTTTTTTTTTTTTTTTTTTTTTAAATAAGCTGGTTTTATCTGAAACAGTTGTCAAGGTAAAGCCTGTTCTTTCCTGTTCTTGGTGGTTAACCATCTGCTCCTGCTTGTGTTTCAATGCAGCTGCATTCCTGTTGCCCAAATAAGGGGCCAGTGTGCTCCTAATATTGAAAACTAGGAGCCATTTTTTAAAATTCTCTCCAGTCTTATATTGAACATACTTTACTGCTGTCAATATATAGTCATAAACAAGGACCTCAGCATTTTCTTGAAGCACAAAAATTTTTCTCAACAGCAGTATCTTCATTCATAAATTAGCAGCTATATTCAACAAATCAAAAAATTATGCAAAATCACTGTGATATCTACATTAGTTGAATTTTTTTCTTTATGTTATTGTACAGAAGACCACGTGCAAAGCGAACAATTTCTGCAAGTACAGTTACAAAGAAACACTTACAATTTACTTATTGCTGCTATATCCAATGCTGTTCTCTTTCACTTTCCCTATGTGCTGTGCTTGAACTGTGAGGACGATGAAAATATCCAAATGTAGTACATCATATTACTGTACTCACTGTGAGCAGTATTATCCTTGCTGCCTGCAGTAACACCCAGGAAACACTTCTTTCCCAGAGTATTTTATTCATTGCCTTATCCTCTCAACAGAAATGTATGCAAGGGTCATTTGGAGGACACAGACACGGCCACCACTGGACATTCAGCCTGCCTTTTTAGGAGAGTTACTGGTCTGTGAGCTACCACTGTGGAAGTTCTAGGCCTCTTCTTTTTTCACAATGATTCTTGTCTGCAGACTGTACACACAAGTGGCTTTTAGAGCTGCAAACAACTTCTGGGATGATAGCTTTTATATAAGTGTTGGGCTCATTGTCACACAGTCATGCAGGGACAACACATGCAGGGACAACACATGCAGGGACAATGCATGCAGGGACAACACAGCAAAGTGACAGCATGAAGCAAGAGGAGAAGGAGCTTGCTTTCTATCATCTGGAGCCTCCCTTGCAGGTTGCAAGTACAAATCAACTTTGAGAAAGAATGAAGATGAGTCATTTACCACTCCAGGCCTCATTCACTAGGAGCAAGGAGTAAAAGGAAAAGAAAAGAGAGGCAAGGTCCTCTGACCATAAGACCTCTGAACTTTTTAATGTTCACACTAACGAGAACTTCAGTTGCTTGGACATGGCTCCTTGTGACCCGAAGGATTAAAATAAGAATTGCAATGGGACAGTTAAAGAATATGATGGTGAAAATCCTGACGCATAGGGAGGCCGGCCTCTCTGCCTCCTGAAGGTGTCCATCAGTCTTCTAAGTGGAGGGAGTTCAGAGGATGGAGGGAGCCAAAAACCACACATACTCACTGTGATAACAGGAGCAATGATCATATTCAGAGCTGAGGAAAACCTCTTGGTTGAAGACATGGAATTAACTTAATGACTGGCAGTATTATCCACCACAATTTATCCTTCTGTGTGTGTTCTTGTAACGACAGAAAATCCATAGTGTAGAGGGATAAACACATTTCAAAACTCCAGGAAATGGGAGTACTTTTCACTGGCACAGTATAAAATGGGGTAATGTTTTCTTGATGTGAGAAAGGGACTAATCATACCACAGAGAAGTATTGCTACAGAGTCATGGGCTAGCTATGATTTTGTGCATCCCTGAGAGAAAATGGTAGCTGTTAGCCACTTGCTCATGTCTACTCGTTCTTTACAGTTACTTCTCCATGTCCTAGCTCGGTGCTCTTGTCATTGCTGACACACCATCACTTATTCCATGTCTTAACCTTTCCTCTAACATGCCTGCAGCAAGTCTGAATATGAGCTCACATTAATGGTACATAAAATGAGTACCTTGAAACTTTGTCAGTTGTCTAAATTCAGTAATTCACACAAAGCTTGTTTGCGTTTTGTTCCCAAAAGGACCTTAACATCATGAGCTGATGGGTCAGTAGGACTCTGCTGACTTTGAAACAACAGGCAAAGTCTGACAGATCAAGCTGAGGAAATGCTGACAGTGAATTCAGTTTATACCAATGTTACTCCTAATCATTGGCTTGAAAGCCTTGTCTGGGTCATGTTCACTTGGGCAGCTCAAGCCATGCCCTTCAAAGCCTCTAACATTCTCTTCCAGAATATCACTGTTACATTTATAGAGTTATTTCCACTAAAGAAACATCCCTGAGTGGCATAGAGTGCAACGTTTGCATCGAGCAGTGATTGTCATTTACGAAGTGTGAAACTTAGAGAGTAAAGAAGAGGATGGGGCCTCCAGCACACTGTTCCAAATGGATGTCAGAGATAGGATTTAGTTTCTAGGGTGGAGGCAGAAGGTGCTGGGACAGGCTGGTGGGTGTAAATACACTGCTATTTTATGGCCAGGGAAAAGCAAGGTGTTCTGTCTCAAGGTTCTATTTCATACATCCTTAGACATAATGTACTGGACAAAAAAAACCCCAAAAATCTTCTGTGTTTCACTTTGATTTTATGTGTTGTATTCCTGGGATGTTCAAAAGACAATGACTGAAAATAGGAACCGCCTTCCAGGCTGGACCATAGCTCTTCTGGAGCACAATTAATACAGAGTCAGGAGGGAGAAGGAGTGGGGGAGACTGACCATCTTTCAAATGATGTTTGAAAGCACAGCTTCAGAAGGGTGGAAAAGCCAACAGGGAAAGGAGCCATCAGCTGCACATCTCTATCTAGCTGAGCTGCCTGACCAATTTGTGAGACTGCAGTCTCAGAGAAGCTCGTACAGGCTGGTGGTGGGAGGCCAAGAGGCTAGCACACACGAGCAGCTTTGTGTAGAAGTCGTTACATCAGAAATCCCGCAAGCCGTCCCAGAGGGAAACACACCACTGTGAAACTGAACAAAGAAAATCACGTAACAAAGCTCACCTTCCCGGGCAGCTGTGGTAGCTGCTCCACCTCAGCACCATAACCTGGCAGAGGTATTGAAACAGCGTTGGTGCCCAAGGTGCAACAGGAGAATAAACTGACCCTTGTGAAACTGGGCTGAAATGAACAACACGGAGCATGAAGTCAAAGCATTTATGAGAGTAACATCTGCCTTTTGCTCAACAAAGCTCAAGAGGGACCTCTTAATGCCAAGGGCCTCCAATCTTGTGATTGGTTGAGCACCTTCTTGGCTGAAATGCCTCAAATTTTAGTGAGTCTAGTTAGAGCTGAGTGTCTGACAACTTGCAGAATCAATTCCTTAATGCTGTCTATCATAAGCCAATCAAAAACCACATGTTGCTTTTGGAAACAAGTTTCCTCAACTGATGTGCCTTTTACCACCATGTTTCTTTTCTAGCAATTTCCATTAGAAGGAAATATGAATCTTAGAATTAGTTCTTTATAAAAAGAACAGGCAAGAGTGATATTTACAGCGAAATAAAGTCTTTGTGGTAGAATAATGAACACTGTACATCTGCTTCCTCAATGCCAAGGGTAATTTAGCATAATACCGCTGAATTACTGGAGAGCAATGCTAGTTGTAGGTTCAATACATGCTTTAAATATATGCTTAAAATAGCCTTTTGTCACAGGTCCCAGGTTAATCAATCATTAAAAAATGTGTCTCATTTGAAAAGCCTGTCACTAAAAAAATCAACAAACATATCCAGTTATTACAACAAGAAGATGTGACAAATTCTAGTTTTAGACACTTGAAAAACTTCAGGTTCTACCATGGACTACTAAAGCCAAAACAAACATCAATGAAGTACTAATACTGTGAAGTTATTTACTAAAAATCCATTCTATTTTATCCCTAAAAGTCCATGGATAACTTGTGAATATGTGAAATCCAGTGTCAAGAATTTGAAACTTTGAGTATAAGCTGGCAAAACTAATCACCAATATCCAGCCTGTGGCATGTGATCATTATGTGTTGTTCTACACTCAATAGTGTAGGGGAAATAGGGGAAATAGGGGAATAGGGGAAAAGAGGTACGATACCTATGTGGCCAAGCCCAAATGACAGAAAATTAAATAAAATCTAATTGCAGTTACCACAGCACAGTTCCATAAATAAATAATTTTTGAAAATTAATTTTCATCTTCCAAATAAACAACACCACTATTTGCTCAAATCCTGCTCTAAAAGTAACAAAAACTTGTTTGGTAATATTTGAAATTCCTAGTAGAGGTTATTGCCTATTTATGACAATGAAGATCTTGTATGCCAGAGTATTAGAAGTTTTAGGACAAAAGCCAAGAATCCACTTTTATTTCTAAACTTTTGGGTATTTCTAACTTTGTGGTTTCCGACAAGTCACTTAACCTTTTTTCTTTCATTTCACATCTTTAACATGTGATCATAATCATTACTGATTGGAAAGGTCATGACATTGTAGAGATATCAGAATAGTGCTTTAAGGATTAGAGGCCCTGCAGATGTCTTTTTCACTAGTGACCTCCATTTAGTTATCTTGCCTGAGAAGTAATTCAAAAATCCCAAGGAGTGATTAGCTTATTTGAGAAGAAAACAACATTTTCAAGATGTAACACACAATTGTGAAGGACTATTTATAAACATGACAAAGCTCTTTATTAAGCAGCACTATAAACAGTAGTATTTATCACTTATGCTATATTTCTATGGGTTGGCTAAATATATCCTTTTGATATACTGAATTTATAAAATATTTCAAACAGTATGTGTGTGTTCTTGTGTTGGGAAATCAAGGAAAACATGAATCCCCTGCAATTAAAACCCAGCACTTCTAGAGTTCAGCATGACTTGATTATTTCCTCAATAAATCTAAACGAATAGTACGTAGACATTAAGTTTTGATATACACATACTTGAAATTTGGGATCTTTTTCCTGGATTTGCCATACAAGAAGGGCTGCAAACAGGAAAATCACCTTATAAAGGAATGTCAGTCTTACAGTTAGAGTGGTATAAAGAAGCGTCAAGAGCAATGCTTTATTATGTTAACTGAAGACACTTTAAGGTAATAACTAGAGAAATGTGCTCTGAATTTGGACTAAAAAAGGTAACTTTAGTAACTGCTGTTCTGTAGGATTAAGCAATTTTGAAAAGTATGTCACATTTGCAACAAAATTCTCACAACTGAATTTGCTGGACAGATTTTTTTCCTTTTTTTTTTCTAAGTTGTAATGGACCTGCACAGAAACATTTATTAGCTGAGTTTGTAACTACTCTCATACCTGTTCTGGCATTGCTAAAACAGAACAAACAAATTGTGATATTCTCTAGACTCGATTCTGCCACAAAACACGTATGCAAACTTGCAAGCTGACTAATGGGAGGCAAGGGAGAAGTCCACAAAATATTTGAAACAGCTTGTGAATTATCTGCTCATGAAGAAGAGAGAAGCTTGAGAGCAGAGCTGCACAAGGCATTGTTATCTTTTCTTCAATTTTCTTCACCCACCCTAGGGCCCACCTGTGGGCTCCCTGTGACACTGCCCCTCCATAAGCCTGGCAAATGGGCAGGTCCTTTGTGCTTCCCCTTGCCTTGCCTCAGATTGCACTGGCTTCTGCGTGGTTTGAGATAAAGAAACACATCTGCTTTGTGATCCTGCCTTCACTTCCTTTCTTCTCTACTGCCTGCTTCTTATTTCTGCTCTATGCCCTCCACTGGCATCCCAGGAGGAGACTCTTCTGAAAAAGTTCACAGTAGGTGAAAGCGGTGGTAAAGAGAGATGTAGCAGAAACTTAATCCCTCTTTCATAGCTAAAACATCTGTGTTTTGTACTTCTGGCAGAATGCAGGTACATTAAAAATGACTGCTGATTAAATGAAATGAACCCACAAGATTAAGTCCATGGCAGCCTTCCACTCCCCTCTGTGTTTGCCTTTGGTTTTGCAAGCAAATGCAAGTACAGTCAATTCAGAGACAGACAAAAAGAAAGCTCCAATCCAATCCTTTGCTCCACTCCTGAAATGCATCTAAAATAAATCCTATATATGCATATATATATATACACAGTTATATACATACAGATATATACATACATATATGCATGTGTTTAAAACATACACAAATGTATGAGTGTAGTGGAAACCATCGGTCCCGTCTAGATGACGACTGTCAGACGCATGGACAATTATACTGTCCTTTGTAACCATGGACTTCACCCACTTTTGACTTTCCACCTCCTTCCTTTCCTCTTCAGAGATACATTTTAGGCTTGCTATGGTTTTTCACTGAGCTTACTACCTATCTTTCTAAAGAGTTCAGCAAAAAACAAACCAAGACTTGAAGCTAATTTTAAAAACAGTATATATATATATGTATATATATATATATATAAATATGTAAAATCACGTGTGAAATAAAAAAAATGTACACATGGGATTGTCTACATTTTTACTCCATGTTTCAGATACTTTACTGAGATCAGGTCCTACTATGTTCACTTTTATAGATGTTCTATCCCTGTAACAGTGAGAATATTTAAAAAAAACAAAACCCAAACCAATCCTATTCCTCTTTTCACTAAAACCATCCAGACAAGGCTTTTGCACCATTGATACATTCCTGATGTTTGATTTACACACAGCACACATGCACTACATTACACACATCTCAGAAGTGATCCTGTCATTACACATTGGCAGCTGACAATTTAACTCTGGTAAAGCAAATCTTGATTGCGCAAAGTAAATCTAATACATTACTTGGAGAGTAAGAAATATATGACAGCTGGATTGAGCATCCTTTAAATGTAGGCATGTGATTTTAAGTTACAGCATGTATGCATATAATGCATACATACATATATACATACATACATACATATATATGTATATAAATATGTGTGTGTGTCTTCCATATATGCACCATAATTTCCAAGGCAGCTACAAATTTCCACATGCATTAAACTATCAAAAACATAGAACTAGGCAGTCTAATAAGTGGAATTTTCTTAAATTATATTTGAACAATAAACAGCAAGAGTAATACTGCGAAGTACTGCTCTATTATCATGTATTATCTACAATAAAATTCTAGGAACAGTTGTCTCCCAAAACATCCCCCAATAAAAGTAAATTAAAAAAAAAAAAGGTAACACCCAGTGTCCTATATTTGTGTATTAATTGTCAGTTCAAAAATGAAAAAAAAAAAAAAAGGTAAACAAAAGAGAAAAAAGACATCCCCACTCAGAGTTGCATATTTACATTCTTCAAACTGTAGCGGTGAAAAATAATTCTATTAAGTGCAGGACATTCCTAGTGTTGCAGTAGTGACATTTTTAATAATTTCTTCATGAAAACATTTCTTTTTGTCTTACTAGTGATGCATTCCATGACTACGTGAAAATTCTATTATCCCCTTCACTTGCAGCCAGTGGTTGAGTCTGGATTGAAAAGCTCCTTGTATAATGGAGGAAACAGTGTGTTCACTATGTCTGGATGAGATTGCTTAAATACCTGCAGTTTCTCTCCGTGCAAGTTGCAAAGTGCAGTAATTGTTGGTATCTTGGCTATTAACTGTAAGACATTGAAACAAAAAAAAAAAAAAAAGAAAAAAAGGAAGAAGGTGGAAGCATATTTTGTACAAATTACACTTTCCAAAATGAACTATGTTAGTGTCTTGGTGAGTAACTGAAAGAGACACTCTATCAAAGCTCCATCAAAACCCATCCAAAGGACTTGATATTGTTCTTACTATGAGAGCTGCCCCCAAAGTTTTAGTCAAGGGCAAAAAATGCATTTATCAAGGAACAGCCTCAATGAGCACTTTTTAAAGGCAGTCACATTCTTTATAGGGTATGAATTAAAATTATTGGTATATTGGATAAAAAATGGAGTAAGAGGCAACAGGGACAAGAGTCAAACAAGCCTATCTTCTATGCACGGCAAGCACATAGTGCACTTCTTTTAGCCTACATTAATGTGGCAATATGTACAGAAATGGCTGTGGAAAGAGAAAGAGTCATGCTTGAGGTCTGCTTGGTGTTTTATTTAAAGAACTTACCTTTGTCAATGTCTCCTCATCGAGGTGGTTCTTCTGAATAACATGTTGAAGTGCAAAGTAAATCTTTTCCTGAAGCTTCTGGACCTTCCTTGGCTCTATTAACCAGGCTCGATCTGAGAAAAAGGAAAAGAGAAGTTAAAGAATGCAGAGACTGGGGCATGCTCGTGGTGCACACAGGGTACTGCACTGCCAAGTACCCACAGGAGTCCTAATTCTCACGAGGAAGGACTGCACAGTAATTAAAGACATTGTTTCAGAGGCAAAGTGTCTTAACCCATTAAAGGATCACCTGAGCACTTAATTAACACACACAAAATGTACAGGAACACAGTGTTGGCTCTGCATCTCGTTGTCTAGAACAGGATGCTAGGCATAAAGATGGGAACAGAAATGAAACACGGCTCAACATTTTATTATTCTCTGTTGGTACAATCAGTGTTCTAATTCCATACTGGCTAGGTTATAAACATGTCATTTTATCTCAGTGTCTTAATACATAAATAATAAACTTACTGATCAAAACAGTTCTTTGAAAATAAGATAATATAATTATTCAAACATTAATATATCTCATTATTTACTACGGTAACATTTTGAGACAAAAGATATTCTAAATAAAAAGAAATGGCTTTCTTCAAGAGAATTTCTTCAATAATTCAAAAGAATTGCAAAGTGCAAGTTTCTCATTATTTAAAAATGTACTCTTTTTAAACAATGCAAAATACAAGATTATCTGGAAGGATAACAGCTACACAGTTGTTTTAAAACCTATATGGCTTCTATGGTTTTGAGAAACCAGAAAACCCCAAGTGCAGGAGGTTGTCCTCACAATCTATATTCTCACAAGTCATAGGTTCTAGAGACAAACACACAGAAAGAAAAGAAGCAGACCCCAAGACAATACAAATCCATTAATGCAGTGTGCTTACAGCACCACTGAACCTTCTGTTTTACCACACTGGAAACTGTTTTTTTCTCCTGCAATCCAGACCAGTTCTTGGCTACAGATTTTAGCTTTCGTATGGGAAATAAGAGAACTTCTTTTATCACAAGCTTGAATCTCCATGTACAAATTGAAAGATTCAGGAAAAAACCCTTTCACTTTTCTTTCACCCATTCCCCATCACTAAAATAAGTCACAGAAATAATTTAAGTTAACCACTTCAATGAGCACACATGCCACAGAGGCTGGAAATGAGCAACATTTCATCACAGGAGTAGCACAGTTCTGCCATTTGTCTTACTGTCTCTGGGGAAAGGTGCATGAAAAGAGTTGATTGTCAAGTACTGTGAAAAGAGACAAAAACAAACCTCAGCTACTTAACAGATGATCAGGAAAAAAACCCAGTATTTTGTAAATGTTAGAGAACTGTGTTCCCTGAAGGTAAGCCAATGGATCCTGTGCCATCAGTGGCCATAGAAATGGAATTAGCTAAGAACACATGCACTTTCTGCACAACAAGCACACAGTAGCATTTAGACTTCACAGGCTGGACGCCAAACTTTATGCTATTGCAAAACCTGGTCTTTGAATCATGCTAAATTAATGCCTGTTGTGGCAGACTGTAGCTAAAAAGATTTATCACAAAGACCAGTCCCTAGAGGTTTCCCTTTCTGTCACAAGAATAAGCTTAAAAACAGACTGAGGCAGCTGAAGGACAGGTTCATCACTCATCTGTCATGAAGCATGCCGTATATCACACAAGAGTTCTTAAATTTATGACAAGAGCTAGGTAAACCTTTTTAACAGATGCTAAATTTGTATCTCAAAATGTGGTTTCTGCCACCTGAATAGCATCTGTAAATTTGGCTGGAATTTCACAGGTAACTCTAGCTATGTTCACAGAAGTGCAGGAAAAGGTCAATAGATTAGTGACCACCTTTAAACGATGTAGGAAGCAGTGTTTCAATAGTGTACTCTTTCTCTTGGGTTTTGGACTTGTCCATCTTTGAAGAGTACACAGTCCACTAGGCTAGAGAATTGTGTAGGAAAGATGAGAGACAGCTCAGAAAGAGACAAGACTTGGTTTTGGCAAAAGGAAGAAGGAACATGGCATTCAGGAGAGGGACTGGAACAACGGAGCAGATCCTGTCTTACCAAGTGCATCCTTTGTATTTTTGTAGGTGGAGATGCCTCTGCTGGATTTCTACAACATTTCAGCTTTTGAAATCACAAATCAAACTAGAGAATCACCTTCAAACAATGTGGGTTATGTCCATCAAGAAATGGAAAATCTGGATTTGTATGCTGAATTAGAAGGAAAAGGGATGTGACACTGGCCTTTGCAGCCTTTGCAAAACTACTGATGGATGTTACTCATGGATGTTCTCAGGTCCCCTTACTCCCAGTGGAGTGCACTGGTTTCTGTAAGCTGCCTAAACACTGAGATCAAGGCTGCAAGAGTCGCCTTTCAGGTGGTGACTTCTGCAGAAAAGAAACCTGAATATGAGTACTTCCTATATGGAATCTTTGTAAGCTTATATTAGTCAATGGAAGGACTGGTGCAGTGACTTCTGTAAAGCAGTGCTTTATTTTTAATTATTTTAATTTGTTCCCATGATTCAACTCTTTATTGTGGAGGAACCAGAACATCAAATGTGGAAGGAAATATTTCATTCTCTATTACTGTTACTGTTTTTGAAAGAAAATAAATGGCATGTTTCAGTATAAGTTCATTCTGGACTATTTTCTCTGTCTTCCCACTCTCTAACGTAGCAGCCCAGTTAAAATGGGAGTTATTTAAACAATCCAAATATACAGGTTTTTTATGGAAGAAAGACTGCTTTCACTCTTGCACGTGCTGCTGCAGCCCATCATTTCCTTCTTGTTGTGTCTTAGGACTAGTTACACATGCTCACAGACTGCAGAAATAAGCAGTCAGCGTACACCAAACACTTCTGTTCCTTTTAAATTTATTTTTTTTTTAGCAAATACAATAGGAGACACTGCATATATCCTCTGGTTTCCAAACTAAAAGGACAAATGCAGAACTGCAGAAATGAATCAGAATTTTGATTCCATCTAATTTTTCCCGCAGCTAGCACCCTATGCCACCCACCCAGTTTTGGTCTTTTCAGACTGGGAGAGAAATGATAGGCAGAGACCAATCAGGACATTGCAAGTCTGCTGTTCCAGAGAAAGTCAGGACATCTGGAGGGGTAGTGCAGAGGCACTGCACACAGTTGGGACACCTTTGAGGTAGAAATCATCAATGTCTAGAGGGTTGTATTTTGGCATAACCTCATGAAGAGTCATTGGCTCAACTATTTCACTTCTGAGCAGATGATGGCAAGAAGTGCTCAAAGTGAAAAAAAAAGGAGTCCTTTCAGTAGGTGTTGTTAATGATGAGAATGATTGTGTTGACACCATCTGTGGTAGTCTAATTCTGCCTAACATTATCTGCAACACAGATGTGCAAAAGCTCAAGGTGACCTAGAAAAAGTCTTCAGCAGAAAAAGTTGGAAAAATAATTTGTAGTGTGTTTTTTTTTTTGTAAGGCTATATAAGAGGTTATCCTTAGATGAAACTATGTGTCTCCATTCCTTGAGGCATACTTAAAAATTCCACACTAAACTGTGAGCTTGTGTACTAGACCCACTTTATGAATCAACTTAATCACATAAGTCTCTTTGTGGCCAGCCAGCCTTCCCTTAAATGCTTGCTTACCTGTGTAGAGTTATGGTATATGATACAAGAGAAAGAGCATGCTGCACTTTAAATCACTGCCTCTCACCTGGAACTAGGTTCAGATAGGACTGCACACCAATTTTCACTGCTTACGCTCTCACTCCCAAGAAAAAAGCCCATCATAGTTATGGCCTGTATAACCTACTCAGGGTGGAGAGTTTTGTAGTCCCTGAAAAAGCTAGGAGGAACATGTACCTCTTGAGTAACATAATTCTCTTCAGATGGTCTGAAGGAAGGCCAGCCTGCATTTCTTGTCTGCACAATCCTGCCCATGTCTGTTACACTTTGGATGTACATCCACTATATGTAATTCCTGATGGTATATTTGGGTAATTCAGGTATTCTTGCACTGCTTAATACACTGCTTACATTTGATGCAGCTTAAACAGCTATTTAAGCATGTAGAAAGAGATGGACTAAGAGGTAAAAAAAAACCAGTGTTTGGAATGAAAAGTTACCTGGTGATATCAGAACAGCAGATGAAAACAAGGCAATCTCCTCCTCAGTCAGCTGTAAGGAACACAAATTCTTTGCAAAGTCAAATGCTTCATTTACCAGATCATCAGATCCTGCAGACAAAAGAGAACCAATGTTAGAAATCAGCTCTTCAAACTGCAGGGATTGTTTTGGTGTCAGAAAAAGTTGTTCCTAAATTTCTGTACTGATAGTTTTCATTAACTATTAAAATTTCATGTAACCTGAAAATGGCACTAAGATGTACACGGAAGTGAAAAAAATTAACAAGAATGAGGTTGAAGTACAAAAATTGCACAGACATCTTAACAGTGAATATTCTTTCCCAGTGAGGTAATATCTGTTTCTAAACAGGTATTAAACTTAAGGAGGAGGAAGGACCAATAAATAACGTTTATACATAATTTTACTAAGTACAAATGTGTATGAAAATTGGCAAAAGCATCATAAAGATAAAAATAAATTAATTAATACACATTCATAAATGCTTTAAACTTATAAAGAAGTAGCATGTTTATGATACACACTATGAAAAAAAATTATGATAAATATATACATTTGAAGGCAATATCTCTCTTTGAGTTTGGTCCTGAATCAATTTCTGATATTATCAGTCTGATGGATGCACAAAACACAAACATTTCACTATTAACATTTCAGGTAGCACTCAATATCATGTTGAGAAACAGAATAATTTTTTCAGTACATGAATCTAAATGAGCTTACTTAAAAGTTTTAGGCAAAACAGTATTTTCAGCAAATTGTTCATTAATTTAGTCTCCTCACTGCTGGGGCTAAAATTGCCTTCTGCAGGACACAATTAGTGGGAGGGATTTCTTTCATCAACCGTAACTGAACAGTAAAGACAAATAGCTTGTCCTGCCATAAACTCATGGTTCATCAAAACTTCAGAAGGCAAAAAATCTATTTGAAAAAACCCTCTTGCTTCTCTGTTTTTATTAGAGAAAAACAGCTATCATTGTTAGAAGCTAATGGAATCACCTTTTTTTTTCTTTTTCTGTTTCAAACAAGACATTTGGAGACTTGAGGATTCAACATTTACTGGAGACTTCCACTGTGGGTCACTATTCCCATAAAGAAAAATTTCTTGCTATATGGCTCAATGCAATTGGTTGGAAAAAAGAAGAGCAACATACCCAAAGCTTTAAACATTTGCATCCCTCCATACTTTCCTTCAAACAGAACAGTATTGTTAAGTGGGTTGAAGGCACGGCACATTCTCACCAAAACCACTTCCAAGCAGCCTAGCAGACAGAAAAAAGAGCAAAGGTACCAGGTATTACTGCCAAACATCAGAGCACAGGAAAGCTCAAGAAGATATTTACGAAGCCATCAGTCATTAAAAACATCAGAAGGGACAGACACTCTTTGAAGACATCTACATTATACATCTATGAATGCAAGAAAATATATTTCTGTCTGCTTTGAGTAGAGAATGGGGTCATTTCTGCTCCAGTCTAACCACTTTTCTACAGATTGACTTTTTCACCCTTCTCAGAGAATTAGCAACCTGGACTAGATCTGAATTTAGATAATGGGCAAATAATTTCAGTTTTAAATACTTTATCCTGAAAAATAGGCATTATTTATTAAAACTCCTTTTTAATAGCTAAACCTTTTTTTTTTATAACAAAAACCAGCTTCATTCAAGGCGTATAAAAATTCCAGCTTAATTTGACTGGAGAGGGAGAACATCATGAAGCATTTTTAGAAAGAAAGTATAAGCTAAAGAACTGCCAAGAGCACACCTAAAATAGGTTTTACTTCTTGTTTCTTTTTATTTTTCTTTTTTACTGGTTGTTGAATAGAGAAAAAACCACTTCCTTTTTAATCCTTAGCTTTGCATGTTATCTCCTAACTGCAAAATTATGCAGTTGGAAAAGTGGAAGGAAAAATTTTAAGATCTCTTAACTAAAGCCAGATCTTCTGTAAGATGAACTCAAAATCTGAGCATTATTCTGCAGATATGCTTTTGAGAGAAAAGTCTTCATTTTCAAACTCCTGGTCAGCATTAACAGTAAAAGAGAAAATAAAACCTGACGCACTTTTATATGCTATAGCTTAACAATATTTTCCAGCAGAGTGAAATAAATCTTTTCCTGAAGGTGCAGTTGTGCTGTTAGCCTTGCCAGTCAAATGAAGTTTCCTAGGGGTGCACCAGTATCTGCAGCATTTTCAAAATTAGTATGAGATTAAAAAAAATAGTTTTTGTACTATAACTCCCTTTCTCTAGGAGGTTGCCTGTGTGTTCCCTGAGTCTCTGTATCACTTCCCTTTGCAGCTGAGCCCATCATCAGGGCCCAATCCCTCACCAGGACACAATCATGGTTCTCTTAAGGCCAAGGTTGTGGGTTTGATTCCCCCACAGGCCACTTAAGAGCTGGACTTGATCCTTGTTGGACCCCTTCCACCTTAGAACAGTATGTGATTCTGGTCCTGCCACTGAGGTTAGCTCAGTTGGTTGGAGTATGGTGGTAATAACACCAGGGTTGTGGGTTTGGGGCAGTCACTGAAAAACTGGGCTGTGGGTCCCTTCCAACCCAGAACAGTCCATGACTTCTGTGTATGGAGTGCTGAATCACACAGGCTTTCAGCCTTAGTGAAGAGATCTCTCTCCAAAGAGAAGCACTTAAGTTTTAACAAGCTGCCTCACACAGCATCCTACCTTTTACACATGGAGGGAGCAAGAAACTGATATGACAGGGTAAATGCAGTTAATTACCAGTCGTGGTTCTTGTGGTTCACTTAGTCATGCCATTTTGTCCTCCTGGGCTTGGCAGTGTTACTGCACAGTCATGATAAATCTTGTCAGGATTCTTTCGGAGCACAGGAATTACTGAGTCCCTTGATAAGGAAGGAAAGCCTTTTCCCTTTGCCCTTATGCACACACATGCAAACTGGGCATGCAGAGAGAGCGTGGTTGGAGCACACTGCCATAATCTGCTCTCATTTATTCCAAAAACAACTGGCACCAGCAGGAATTTTCCCTCCTGTGCATTGGCTGTAGAATATTTCTGTAGTCTCATTAAAAAGATTAAGGATGACCACAGAGGCAGGCCCCTGGGAGCCTGCCTTCGTTTCATTAATGACGAGTTTTACAGGGTTTCATTAATGACATTTTACAGGGTGGCAGATGACTGATTCGACCAGCTCAATTTGCAGGCTCCTTCCACCACATGTCAGGTTGGAGACTGCAGTTTTTGCAATGGTTCTTTGTGTGTGTGTGTGTGTGTGTGTGTGTGTGTGGGTGTGGGTGTAGTTAATGACCACAACTGACTGTAGAGGGGAGAGGATCAGAAGTCAGTAACATCATTAATGTGAAAAAATACAGCAAGGTTAATGTACTTAATGCAACAGACAGAAATTAGGGCTCCCTCAGAATTAAAATGACTTGCAGGAAAGGACAGGAGAGCACATTTCTAGGGACTCAGTCTCAAGCCTCTGGTGTTTACCCACCTGACTTAAGAAGGAGAATTTGGTCATTCTGGCAGAGCTCCATGAAGCCTGTTATGCGCTTTGCAAACTCCACCACGTACTGGATAGCATGGGTGATCTGAATGGCACACTGCTGCCACAGAGCTTCTCTTGTCTTCCAGGAAAGCACACGTGCAAGAGCAAAGTGGTGAGTAAACAGGTACAACAGTGCATTAAGTTCTTCTTGCCTTGCAGACAGCAGGACTCCCCACGCTCCATCCCCATACCCAGGCAGAGCTAGCAGCATCTCTTTTTCTCTAGGCACCCAACACTTCTCATTAGAAGGCTGCTTTCACAAGATGCTGCCCCACTCATCTGAACCCTGGTATTGCCTTTTCAAAGGAGCAGAATGCACTTCCCAGTGTTATAATGTGATTCTAATGTTGGCTTTTTGTGCAGAACAGACTAATAGTGGCATGAAAAACACATATATTCCACAGCACTCTTGGGCAAGAAGTGGAACAATGATATTGATTTATGCAACAGAGTATTTTTCTAGCTTGAAAGCTGAAATATATAATTGAAGTATCTTAACACAGGTTACATTAAAATGTTGACTTTCTGATAATAATTTAATGATATTCTGTGCAATTCCTTGCACACACATGTGTGTAAATGAAAATGGATGTTCTTGGTTTCACTGCAAGCTGTGGTGTGTTTTTGTTCCTGCTAATACTGCACAGCCCCTCAGATTTCAAAGATGACTGGACCACATCTGAAGAGGTGCCAGTGGAAAAAAGACTGAACTTGACCTGAGAATCACAGGAGCAGAACAAAAATGTAGTGTAATGAGATAATTTTTTCCACTCAACATTGAAGAGCTTCAATTTAAGGAGTATTTTCAGTTTGTTATCCTCTGCTCTCGTAAGTGACAGGTGTTTGTTATTCACAGAAAAAGCAGATATGTTTTCAAAATGATAAGGAAACAAGGTTGTCTTATGTTCTTAAAATCCTTACAAGTGAGGATCCAATCACAATCAAATTGGAGTTAACTGAGTTTGTGCATGAGGTTAAGATCTGTAATAACAAGCACAGAAAACTGGATTCCATGACCATACCTAAGCTTTAACATTAGCAAACAGCTCAATATGCTGGAAAACTGCTGCTTTATTTTATGAAGTGTCACTGCTTTGCTTTCAGCAACCAGTTCCCCAAAGGTACTGAAAAGTGTATTTTGCCCTGTAGGAAACTCATCAGTGTACTCCTGTCAAATAAATTACTCTGTTAACAATTTCAAGCAGAAGAAAAAGCATATTAAAGGATTGTACCTTGCTCTGGTAAACCTTTATTTCTTCATATGTGTGGGTCTGCCATGCTAGCTGATGTAATTCCTCCATTGTATACTGACATGTCTCCAAATGAGATTTAATGATATTCTGTGCAATTCGATCTGTGAAAAGGAGAATAAAAAATAGATTGCATGAAAACAGTGAACAGCAACAGCAAAGTGCTGAAAACATTGAATCTGTTGGAAAATGTGCATTTAAGAAAATTAGTCTTTTCTTTTCAATGCTACCTTTCTCATTTGTTTTTAATTCTGAAGTTGATTGAAAAATGTTTCAGTATTCAACCCAAAGCCAAACGATAAACAGTGGATCTGCAGAAGAAAATAACAATGATTTTTGTGTAACTCTACATAATCTTTATTCTGAAAGTGATTTGATATGCTTAAATAATTTTTTGCTTAGAGGCCCTTTTTACCCAATTGCTTTTGTCTGCCCCAAACCTATGCAGTAACTGGTAGACTCTTCTAGCCTGGAGAAGAGAGAAGGAACACTGCTGGTATCACCCCAGCAGGGTACCTCTTCAGGCTTTGGGATGCAACCTCTGCTGGAAGGCAGTATCTCCCTGTCCACATCCATGCTGTGTGTAGATGTTTGCTTTCTTTCCTCGATGCCCATTTCTTTCTAATTCTCCTGAAAGAACTAATCCTCTGAATTCAGTGGTCAGCATGTTTCAGAGCTACCAGGTGTCTCAGAAATTGCCTGACTGCTTGAACTTGCCATGAACACTTGCATTACTTTGGTGCAACTTGTAAAAGAAGAGGAAACAGGTCTCTTTTTTCTCAAGTTAGTTCTAACCTGGATAATTTTCTGATTGAATTTGATGAGCAAGAACATGGAGACTGGTTTTATCAAGGGGTGAAAGATAGAACTAGTATCCTGCAGTTTAGAAGGAGAGATGGAAGACATAAATCTCACACACACCACTAAGCTACCTTAAAGTTGTCCTGAAATTGCAGCCTTAGAAACTTCACAACATGGAATGCAGGATGCAAGCAGAAAAGGAAGAATGCAATGTTACCCTGGAAACCCACTAAAACGATGAGAAAACTCTTAGACAAGTACTTGAAAGCAGACCTTTGCCCCTAAAGCCGCTTGAGTGGATTGAAAAAATTTTCACAAAAACGTCCAACATGAATTAATTAGCTTAGGAGCTGAAATGTTGCGATAAAACATGTTACAGAAAATGGATGATTTCCTATTTTTCAACTTAGGGACCTACATGTCTAATGAAGCTCATTGCTTCAGCATGAAAACTTTGCTTAAGCCAAACAAAGGAACAAAGTTGTAGGCGCAGAAGTGAACTGAAGCACTTGCAGCTGAACCAGCATTGCGCAGAACACATTTGTCAAAAAAGGGAAAAGGACACTGACAATGCATTAGCCAAACCTGAGCATGGGAAGTAGAAAGAACTAGGTACACCATTGTTCACTTGTTCAGATCTTCAACAGTTTGCATAGAGTGTAGGGATTTGGAGCCTGGAGTCCCAAAATAAGTTTCTTCTTTAATAAGTTAATAAGTTTAATAAGTTGCTTCTTTACCCAAATACTGACTGAACTTAGAAACACCAGCAAGGAGGGAAGCTGAAAAAAGAATGTAGAAGTGTATGTTCCCTGTAAACACTGCTAGAGGAGCGCTATTTGAAGGACGGATGACTGCGCTATTGCTACAGTTAATAAGCTGAGACTGAGTAGAAAGGTGCTGAAGATAAAAAAGTTGCAGGTTTGTATGGGAAAAATAAAACCTGCCTAATTGAATTTGTGCAGGTATCCTTTTACAGGTCAACACTGTCTTTAAGCTTCCTGATACTGACTCCAACCTAAAGATAACCAAGATTGGATATTAATAGAGTGATCTACACTGTTCTTTTATGGAAGGTTAGATGGCAGTCTTAACCTTTGATGGTAAGCTGTTGCATTTTACAATAAAAATCTTGAAGATAAATGAGCATCTCTCTTACCATAAGCATCTCAGATAATTTCATATTACTGCATACACAGATTTCTAATCAGATAAAGTGACCTGATGTCAACAATCTGAAACAAGACCTTTCGATTTCACTGACTTCAAAATATATTTGATTAGCAGTTTGACACTACTGCAAAGCTCCTCAGCTCCCCTCCTTTTCCTAGCATTTATGTATTTACCTGAGGAATGGAGAGCTGAGAAACTCTCCAGGGCTTTCTAGGGATCCTGTGTTTTACCCCATGCATCTTTTCCTTACGTACTTATGCTTATGTTGGGCTGACATTAAAACCAATTTAGATGTGCAAAGGCCTGGGGCAATCGCAGCGAGCAGCAGCTCTGAATGCTGACATCCAAAAAGGAATCAGGTGCAAGACAGACTTGGAACTCTTGTGCCGCAGGCTAGGCAAGGCTGAGTGTGTGAGGGAGAGGGTACACTGGGTCTCTGAGGAGATGGAACTGCTCATTCAGCAAAGGAGGCTGCTTGCTTACATTCTGTGCAGGAGTGCCTGGAAGGAGCTTTATGCAGATGCAGCCTATGAGTCGGTGGCAGAGCTGACATGATGCAAAAAGTAAAAGAAGTATACACCTGTCTTGGCTTCTCAGATGGTCCAGCAACAGAAGATCCAACACAGGCAAGGAATGTCACTCTTAAAGGGTTTCACAGACCGTGGACTTTTTTTTTCTACCTTACATTTTCAGACTTTAGCATCGTTTTGCTAATGAAATTGGAGTCAGCACACATCTTGGCAAATCCCAAGAATGACATTCCTAAACCACTGGCAACAATATCCATGACAACTGATGTAAACCTGTCCTATCACAGGTACAGTCCCATACCCAAAATACATGAATTTCAGTGAGACCTGGAAGCTCTGAACTACACCAAACACCAAGTTCAACAGATTATTTCTTTTAATAGAATAGAAAGTAATGGGCAATGGGGAAAGCAAGAGAACATCTATGCACAACAAGAAGAGAGATACAGCCTTGATGCAGAATCCTAAAGCCCGTGGAGGTACCTTGCAGGGGTGATAATCTAATAGCTATGTTCCTCTTCTTCTCCAGGCTAGAGAAGTCCACAACAATTACTTCACATTTGATATGTCTTGACTCTGGGTTGATTTTACTTTCAAAAATCTTGGGCCATAGATTTCAAGGGTCCCTTACCACTGGGTAACCTCATGGACACAGCTAGAAATCCTGTTTGGATGGACTCCAAGGACTACAAAAGATAACTCTATTCTTGTGACTTCAATGTGAACTACATTTCTATGAAATATTGTTAGCTCCCATTGTGAGTTAAGTTACAACAGGTTTGCTGTATGAAAAGAGATATTCTGGCCACACGGGTGTGAGACTCAGTCTGCAACATTTTATTTTCTAAGGACCAACTGCTCCCACTATAGAATGAAAATTAGTAATTCTAATGGGAAGAATTCCTGAGCCTGGATGACAGTACACCACCAGCCTGTAAATTGCAGGATTTGTAAAGCTTATCTATCTGCCACAGTACGTAAACACAAATGTAGACTAGGTGCTTTACCCCTCCTCTTTTGCCTGCATACTGGGTTTATTACATTAGGGCTAAATCTCCTATCTTGATCACTTGATATATGAAAATCACAGCATATCCTGGCAGATTGACTCTGTCTGGGAAACATGGCCCACAGAAAATAATGTTCCCGGTATCCAAACTCTGATATACGCTAGGATGTGGAGGCATTTGCATTAGGCAACTTGATTCTAAATCTGAGGTTTCCACAGTATTGGATTATTGGAAAATTAATATTTTCTTAGTATTTTTTAGAATTTCTTAGTACTGGATTATTGGAAAAATAGTATTTTCTTAGTATTAGTATCTTAGTATTAGTATTATACCTTGAATTTTTTTATTGAAAAGCAGACACTTATTCTACAAAAGCTCTGCTTAATTAAAAAAAAAAATCAAATCTGGAAAGAAGTACTTTCTTCCAGAGTGATAAACCAGAAACAAGATATTCAGTCAAGGAAACTGTCAATAATTGTAACCAATAGTTTCAAAAACCAGAAATGCTCAAACAAAACACATCATGGGATGTCCACTTGTATTTCATTACAGTCCTGCATGTCTCTGACTGGCTTTCTAGAATGGCCTGGTATTCTAGCTGTAGAGACTCATCTGCTCTTAGAGGACAAGGAAATCCAGATGGTGTTTGTTGGCACTAGAGAGCAGAAACCTGAGAGGTCAGGCTGGTCCCTGCTCCACGCAGCACAGGGCGTGCTGCCCTTCCCGCAGCAAGGCCTAGTGAGGCCTTGAGAGGTGCCAGACCGATGGGTAGATGGTTTAATTGGAATTTGCAATGCAGCAGTTAAAAAAATTTAAAAGTTTAATGTGTAGTAGGAGATGTCCAGAAGCAGCTGAAAATTGTACATCTGTACAAGCTCAAGAGGGCCATGAGAAATCAATGCTGTTTCAGGAAAACAAATGTTTTTTACATTTGTCCTGGCCTACCCAAAACAGAAGACAGGACCAAGAGACTTGATTCTGTGAGGACTGTGCCCAGTGAAGGAAGCTATACAGCAAAGTTGCTGTGACAAACCTGGATCCACATTTTTTTGCATAAAAAATCCATTTTTTAATGCATCAAATACCACCCCCGCCTGACCTTCCATCCCCAGTGTCTGGGTGGGTAACAGGGCATCATGTGTGTGCACAAGGGACCAGTGTGCTCTGTCAGTATGGTCATCAGCCACTGCCTTCGGGGGTGAATGTGGGACTGGCTTGTGGCTTCTGCCTTTCCCTAATGTTGTCTATCTCCTTTGCCTACTGAGTAGTCACTCCTCCAAAACTTGTAGGAACTCAAGTGTCTGAGCCTGCTGCATCATTTCACTGGAGCTGCAGAATAACTAAAGAGTCATTCCACAGCCCTGACAGAGGGACTGGGGAGACAGAAAGCCCTATTTTATCAACAAAACAGGCCAAAAGCATATGTTGCAAGAGAAAAGCAACAGCACATAAACTTGGGACTACAGCTCACTGCTTGCAGAATGACTCTTTCTGTTCCCAGTTTTGTTTGCTCTTCCCCCCTCCCTTTCTTCTTCTCCCTGTACTTTCCTATTTTAGATTTCAAGAGTTACCTCACAAAGGCACTCTCCAAAG